GCCTTTTTGTTCTTAACCCAGGTAAGACGCCGCTGACATTTTTTCTTTTGTTCAGGCGACAGTAGCCTTTTCTCCTCCATATGTCTGTGTGTGGTGGCTCTTGAAGCTCCGTCTCCAGCTGCAGTGAATTTCCCCCAAACTCTTGAAGGGGATTTACATCAAAGTTCTCTCATGGCTGCAGTTATTCTCGCTGTTTGTGTGCTTTTTTTTTTTTTCTTTTTCCACCACATATTTCCTTTCTGCTCAACTTTTCATTAACATTCTTAGATACAGCACTTTGCGCGCATCAAGCCTCTTAAGCAATTATAGTTTTTGGCTCACCCTTCTTGTAGAGGGTGTCAGTGATTGTCGTCTGGGCAGCCGTGAGTTCAACAATCATTCCCGTGATTTTTTTTTTTTTTAGGCCATAACATAACAAAATCTTAACATTGTTGTATCAAAATTATATCGCATTGGTCTTAAATCATCCAACAGACTGAGTTCTCTAAGTGACAAACAATCACTTCACCAAGTGAAGGTGTTTAAAACAAGGGAAACCACTCACTGCCGACCCGAGTGCCGACCTCCAGTCTGAACCGCCATCAACAAAACAGCCAGTTTCCGACTGCTTTCAGGAAAATGCTGAAACTTTCTATTCAAATAGTGGACAATTGGCCATATCGAGGCCCATCTCCTCATTTATTTCTGAAAAACACGCACACAAAAAAAAAAAAGTTCAGGGTTCCTCCTTCGGCTATTCACCAATTTCCCGCACAGCCCCTCACTATTTGAATTTTAAGCAATCTGAATGAACAAGAATAAGAAGCTCTTGAGATGAAATCCGTCTCTCGAAAGGGAATTCATCAAAGAAATGACTTCCCATATCAACAATAGAAATTACCTCACAATATGCAATTGTCCTTTCCACATATTCATGGAGCCCTTTGGTGTTTTTATGGGGTAAGAGGGACTATTTAGCAGGTAATGCAGAATTAATGTGGAGGAGAGGAAGAGAGAGAGAAAAAAGCACACTTTTAATGGAAGTGCCTTCTTGCCTCTGAATTTCGATGATGTGCACAATGCCCTTAAATCCCTTTTCTTATTGGAGGTACTTTTTGAACCTTAATAGGATAAGCAGAGGACACAAAAGATTTCTATCTCTCAACTCTTTCAGTTCACTGAGAATCCCAATCTCTGGCAACGAGCACTTCATGAATCATTCATATTGTAATAGATTATGCAAATTCCAGGGCATAAAATCAACAAGATCAATAACTGCAGGCGTTTTTAATTGGCGTTTAAGAAAAAAAGAAAGAAAAAAAAACATTTTAAGGATGAACATACTCTCCAGTTCCTTCCACCGTAAAGACACAATTAATTTGAAATTGGATCTCAGCCTAAATGCCACAAAAAATTTGTTTTTTTTTTTTTTTTTTTTTTTTTTTTGCACAGCTTAAAATTCCTCTGGTAAGCTTATCGCTGGCAAGTAAACTGTAATACTCAGTCATTAGGGAGACCACACACCTGAATATCACATATTATCCACACAGGCACTAAGGGGGAAAAACCAAGCAGAGGAGCCACTAACCAAATAGTAATTACCAAGTGAGTTACAGCAATGTTTGTTCCATTAGCTTGACCTCTGCATGCTTTATTTCCTTGCCTCCTGTGAGAACATAGAAAGGAATGGGATAAACTTAACATTTTCCCTTGCAGATATGCCTTTGATGGGTATATTGACACGAAATTCACCGCAGATGTCTAGGACATCTCAAGTAATCCGCATGTACAAATAAATCAGAACAATGTAGTACATGAATCAGGTTATTTGTAATAAAGTGGGATGGCACCAGGACTAAGTACTGGAAATATGAAGAAAATGCATAGAAATCCAAGAGACATGCTAGTATATAGCTAGCGTTATGTTTACTGTCAGCTGGTGATTGCGATGAGCAACAGCAAAGAGCTCTTTCAAGGTCTTAGCGATCTTGCTTTTGTAAAAGATTAATATGGATTTGGTTACAGACATATTTATTTCACACTAAATAAGCCCGACATAGTAGAAAGAATATAATTTTACCGTACACCAGCCACTAACTAGAACTCCATCTAAGACTTTTGTCAGAGAACTCAAGACATTTTCGTAACGGTTAACCAAGAGAAACGCACAACTAGCGGCGAGCGTCAGACATATTATAGGTACAGTTTCTCCATTAAGATAGCAAGTATTGCACTCAACTGCAATGGCCTTTTTGCACAATCACTGCACAATGCTCCACAGCTGAAGAAAAGGCATGTTGGTCTGCATTTGAGGTCTGCTGCAGAACAATTAGACATGTCAGTGAGATAGTGAGAATGGTAAATGGACTGAACCTATGTGGCGCTTGTCCAATGATTTCGACCACTCAAAGCGCTGTACACTGGAGTCACATTCACCCATTCGCACTCACAAACGCGCACACATTTACACACCGATACGCAGATCAGTAGGCATGTTATGAGAGAGTATAACATGCTCAGAGGGGAACTAAACTCAACTCTTTGGATGTCATTGCAGATTAATTTGTAGAAAGATTTGCGCTGCACATCACCACAAAAAGCCATACCAACAGTGGAATTTGCAGGTGTAAGTATTGTGGTGTGAAGCTGTATGTTTATTTCAGATGTTTTTACAGTTGAGAAAAGGCTGAATGGAGCAACGCACTGCTTTGTAAGTACGTGAAGATGAAGCTAGTAAGATAAGGATCCCAAATATACAGCCAAGGACAGTCCTAATGGTTTAAACAAAATTAAAGATGCAAGAATGACCAATCACCCAATTCAAAATGAAAATTAGAGTAGAGAGAATTGGCGCCAATATATATATATGTGTATTTTTTTCTGGAAAAGTGGTTAAAATTCACACCTGAGCATTCAAGTTATGACCAAACAAGTATTAAATATATTTAAATATATATATATATATATATATATATATATATATATATATATATATATATATATATATATATATATACATACATGTTAAATTTGTAATAACTGTGCCACTCTGCTTTATTAAACACAGCTTGATTTGTGGACTAATTCATATTGATTTCTTTGTATGTGTATATTACTTGGGTAGTTACAGACATCTGGTGTAAATTTAAAGCTAACAGCACTGTAGAAAATATATATTTACATGACAAATGCTATATATACATATATTTATATATACGCAACACTTATTTCGCCTGGTGTATTTACTAATACCAAAGCAGGTCAGCATGCTGATGTGATCACAACCTTGTGGTTTTTTTCCCCTCCTCTACCTGTCTCTTTGCACCTGGTGAAGCAGTAAGGGGAGACTTTCTGCAGAGGCCATCTAAAATATCCCAGGTGCAAACAAAGCTGCCTGCAGACCCAGGCCTGCTTTCTACAGGACCATGCACAAAGGACAAACATACAGCTTTCTTCCTAGGAGGGGCCCACCTCACAAGGGGAGAAATCCACCTCCCACATATTAATGAGAAAAGCGTTCTTTCTCTTCCTGTAAGACCGCCTAACTATCATTTGAGAAGAAGGGCTGCTGTAATTTTCAATCACCCCCCCCCCCCCCACACCCAGACAACCACACACAAAACCCATTGCCTTTGATAGTGGCTGCATAATTATATGAATTTTAATAAAAGCTCCGTATATTAATCTCGGGGCCGCCGACAGTCATCGTAAACTTTCAGTAAACTTAACCTTCTTCTTGGTAATAACACTGCAACAACGGAACAATATTTCAATTAGCCAGGCAGTCATTAACAGTGACAAGGAGAGGAGACGACGACGGGGAGGAGGAGGGGAAAGAAGCAGAGCAAAGGAGCGACAGGAGGGTGAAATAAATGATCATGGTGTTAGAGTCAGGCGGCAGAAATGCCAGAGCGTATTTACCGAAGCACATTACTCCTGCTTTGAGCCACACAAACTGCCTCCTCGTGAAAAAAAAAGAAGAAGAAAAAAAAATCACAGGAGCAGCTGACAGTCCTCCACAGTGCCTCATTTTTTTTTTTTTTTCATTTTTCCCAGAGACCTTGCTCTGATACACAGTCATAGTTCTGATATGCTGACACCCAAAGGTCCTTGTCCAGCGGTGACTGAACAAGCTCCCAGTCTTTCTTAACGCCCTGCTTGCTCAGCAAAAAAAAAAAAAAAAAAACTGGACGAAGGACAGCTGCTGAGATTTGAGCACACCACTGCTGCATTTTTCAGCTCGGCGTTAAAAAAAGCCTTCACACTTAAATTTTTGGTTCGTCTTTATTGTCACACAGCATTTCTCAGCATTCATCATATGTAGAACTTTTCTATGTTTTCAATAGAGATGCACCGAAAAAAAAATGCCATTGATCAGAGACTGACCTGTCAGAAACTGAAAACTCCTATGTTTTTCCCCAATCTGTGAACACACCGCAAGACTCCCAGCATGTAGATAAACAAAAACGATAGTCTTTTCCTGTAATGTGATTCAACGAGAGTTTCAAGAGAAAAACAAAAGTTCTGCAATTGAGTCTATTCCAAGTTACAACTGCTTCATATTAGAAGTATTAAAGAAAAAAACAGCACAAAACAAAGTGCTAATAGATGAAGCTGAAAACAAAACACCCGAGTGTGGATATACTTAGTGAAGAATGTTCTCAGATGTTTAACATCAGGTGAGATGAAGCACAGAAAATGTTAAAAAATGTTTAAGACTGATCTGTGTTTTCCACAACGAGAGAGATTTTAGTAGATATCGATAGAATACTGCAGTGTTATTCTTATGAGCTTTCAACCTCTGACTTTCACTGAATATGTTTGATTTGTTTCTTCCTTCCGGTATTAATATTCTTTAAAAAAAAATAAAATCAGACTAAACTAAGATCAGTTTCAGCAGGTCAAATCTTCACAGCAACCGGTAATCGGCCACGAATTTTCAGATCGGTGCATCTCTACGCCTCCAGCCCTCTCAGTTTGGCATTGTAAAGGCATATTGTTAATGTGGCACTTGATCTTACCTACAGGGTAGCTTTGCGACACACTGGGGCCCAGGTCTGGGTTGGCGCTAGAGGATAAACTGGGCTTGACTTCGTCCAGGCTGGAATTCAGGACAGGGAGCGAGTACTCATTAGCCTGGGGAAAAAAGAAAAAAAAGGACAGTTGAATCATTACACAACCAAACAATACTGACATGGAAATCCTCCTTTTCTCCTCCTCCATTAAGCACTCCACACAGGCATGTGTGAGTATAAATTTGGTGGGGCGCATCATGTGCGTGTGTGTGTGTGTGTGTGTGTGTGTGTGTGTGTCTGCGCGTGCATTCTGCAGGGTGGCAGTTCAAGCATATCATGAATGTATTTTGGTATTGTGTGAGAGAGGAAGTGGGATTTGGAGATGAGTGAAAAGCCAAGGCGTCAGCTGGCCCTTTGTGCTTGACTGCTGTCCTACCCCTGATCAGCCAAGGGAGAAAGCAGTTCTGCTTTGTTACAGACACACCATGTGGTCCTGTTTGAAAAAAAAAAAAAAACAAAAAAAAAAAACACAATTCATTGTTTTCCTTTAGCTTGTTGCTTTTAATTTGGAGTCTAAAACTCATGCACAGCTTTTGATTTACTCTCGTTGATCAGGCAGAAGTAAGTTACAGAAAAGTAGACAATGTGCTTCATCCATTCTGGTTTGTTTTTTTGTTTTGTTTTGTTTTGTTTCATATTGACTATATGTTTGTGCAAAATGTCAAAGTTTCTAACAGATTGTTTCAGAAACACCACATGGTCAAGGTAAAAAACAAAAATGCAATTCAGTTTTTCTTCATTATTAGGCCCGAGCAGCTAAGCGCTGCGAGAGCCT